GTGTGGCACTTTAGCTCGATATTTATGCAACGGCACACACTTCATCTCCCTCTGCCACCTATCCCCCTCTCCCTCTCCTTTCCTCCTCATCCTCACCTTTCTCAGCTGCAATTTAAGCGCACATTTTTCTTGGCAACACACATTTTCCTACTCTGCATAGGAGTAGTTTTTCCAGCTCACGCTCTCCCACTCGCTCTCATTGTTTGCAACACTTGGCGCTTGCCACATAACGACAACAGCAGCAGCATAAGTTGCAAGTTGCAACTGCAACATATGCAACAGCAGCAACGGGGCAATGGCAACAGCAACAGAAACATATGCAACAGCAGCAGCAACTGCAGCGTAGCATGACACATTAAATGCAAAACGGCAGCAAGGTGCGAAAAGGGCGGAGGAGGGGTTGCCATGGGTTAAGGGGGGAGCGGGGGGGAGAAGAAGAGGTTTAAGCCGGGTTTCGAACAGCGGTTTCTGCCGGCTGCTTCTTCTTGGCCATCTTGCACATGCTGCTGGCCTTTATTTAATAAAGAAATGGCTTGCGCATTTTTTAAGGTGCTCCACAACCAGGTGATGAAGGTATTTGCGGGGTATACTAATGTGTATCCATAAGATACTTTTATTTTAAGCACATACTTCTCCATACAAAAATTAGATAAAATTATAAAAATTAAAAAGAGTAGAATAATATTAGTAATATCATTAAAATGAAAGTTTTACTTATGATTCAGCTTTTATTAAATACCTGGTTGTATCTTAAATTCCTAGCAGCAACTCCCTTCTACACAACTTAATTTCCTATTTACGAATTTTGCCTCAAAATAAGGTACGACCCTCGTCCAGCATATCCTTCGTCCTTTTTTTACCCTTATCCATTTTACGCATAATAAACCGTATACTCGCCGCCGTTCTAACTGGTTACAGCCCGAGCAGCTGTTGCCACTCTGCATTCCTCTTAACCCTTGTTGCCGTTGGTGCTGCTCTTATGACAAAACAATTTCGAAGAGCAGATGTGACGAGATGGAGGGCACAGGTAAAATATGTGAAGATGGGAAAAGATAAAAGTTAGCAAGAATCCAAGGCAAGCTTGAAGGTTATTTTTGGCACACACATAAGTCGAGCAGAGCGGTCAACCCGCCGATGTTGATTATGTAAACGGATTGCAGTGGAAAGATCATTAAATGGCATTAGATAATAATGCCGCCTTGGGCCATCCGTCAATCCGTCGTTTCAGCATCGAACACACTTTAAATAATTGCACATTATGCCCCAGAGATTTTAATAAAATAATTAAATTGAAATATGCGGAGCTCGCTAGTTGGGAAATACAATTTTTTTTTTCACCACTTCAGAAAATTGAGATGGGGATAAAAGAAGGAGAGAAATAAGAAGAAGAAGCGACCGCAGAATGGGGCTACCCAAGTGGAAAAAATTCTGCGGGCTACCAATCTACGCATTTTTTAACCCCCCTTTCGCCTCCTCGATTTCGAGCTTGAAAAGAAGACCGACAGAAATGCGAAAAAAAAAACCCGAATGCGATAAACTGTTTTCATTTTACAGAAATTTGTTGAAAAGCATAAAAATTCAACAGAAAATATTAATTTCAATTATTTAGCTACGCGCCAAATCGCCAAGCTCTCGGATTTTTTCCCACCACAAAAAGGGCAGAGAAAAATGTGGAAAAAAATAAGAAGAGCTCCCAAAGAAGGCAGCACTTTGTTCGCTAAATGCGAGCAATTTGTTACAGGATTTTCATCGGTTCTGTGGGAAAATCTTGCGCCCGGGAAAAGGCAATTTATAATTATCAACTGTAGGTGGCGCTCTGGGAGCTCTTCGCATAGCGGAAGTTATTATAGGAAAAACTGCAGTTATGCCAGCTGGCTTTTCCAAAGAACTTGACATTGGCTGTCGGCTTCTGCTTCGCCGGCTTTGTCTTCCAATTCTGCATTCGCCAGTCTTCTATTTTCTTCGGCTTTACCTCTAATTAAAGACGACACTTTGGCATGTTTTGTGGCACGGAAATGCTTGAGACAACTTTGATGAAAGACCAGGTGATTTAAAAAGGGGTAAAAAGTAAAGAAGCCGACGAAGTTGGACTGAAATTGTCAAGTACCGAGAACTAAATGATATTTTAGCACGCCAATACAATGAAAGAGCTGCCGAAGAGCGGAGAATTTGATTGACTTTGATACTTGTTATTTAAGTGCTAAAATTGATCAATAGATGAGAAAGGCGTGGACTAAAGGAAGTCATTATTTTAATTCAATTAAGTTGACTTTGTAATTTAAAACAGGTTCTCTTATACTGAGTATTATTTTGCAAATAATTTCAGTAAATTTAGCAAGCGGAGCCAATAAAAAGACAATAACAACGACGACTTTGAATTAATTAAATCAATCCAATTCCGCACAAAGATTTAATTTCGCCACCACCAACCTTTCCGAAAAGAATTCATCACGAAATTACCTTTCCACACATTCTCTTTCCCTTTTTTTTTTTGGGTCCAATCTAAAATTGGCAACACTCATTATAAGAATACCGTATCAACAACCTTTCACACAGACTCACTCAGGCACAATCCCCCGTGGATTTTGGAGACCTCCTGAAAATTACAATTAAACCCAACTCCCAGACCCGAAAAGATCACTTCTCAGCGGGTGCTAATGTGAAATAAAATTAAAGATCTGTGAAGGAGAGGAAATAAATAACAGTAAATTATGAAATCTTATTTAGAATTGTTTTACCTAATTGCCGAAAAAAATTGGCCAAACAAAAATTACCGAAAAATATGTCGGCGATCGAACTTTAACCCCGGCGCAAAGTTGATTAACACTCGATAAGCAACGAGTTTTTTGGATATTTAAATCCATAAATACCAACCGCTCCACTCATGTTACACTTGCTAGGCGAAGATTAATCGCTTGACATCACACTCCGCTACAAAAAATGCGAGACCCGAACATTTTCTTACCTAATTTGATTAATTAAGCCTCTGGGAAACAAACAATACACTCTTTCTTTGGGAAGATCTGCTCGATAAATAATTACAATTAATATTCGGAGGCCGCTATAGTTTATCGTTTTTATTGTTGGTGGCTACATTGAATGGGAAATATATGTAATTGGGTGATATAATGCAGGTGCGTTAATAAGCTGAAGTTCCGTCATCGAATGACGTAGTTTAGTTGTCCGACTGAGTCAGGGGGATATGGCGTCGATATGGCTCATTGGGCGAAGCGATCGATGAGTTAATATTTATTTTTTAGTTACCGGCCGTCGTGTGAAAACTGAGCAACAGAAAAAGTGGTTGTCCATTCGAGTAAAATACCTCAAAGGTTCAACAACATAGAACTCGACTTGCAGAAAGTGGTATGTGAACTTAATAACTCATCTTTTCCGTTAAAATAAAAGCACGTAAAAACAATATCATCCATTATATGGAACACAATCTTGATGGATTCCTCCACCTTCGCGAGAATCTGAATCTTCCCCTTTTGGCCAAGGTCAAAGTTCTTTCTTAGGCCCTTGACTTTACATTTTGCAATTTTTCACGCACTTCTTCGGTTTGTTTTTTTCCTCAACCATAACCATTTTTTGGTTTCGGCACATGCAAACATGATTTTTTGTTGCCTTTCTTTTCATTAAACAATTCTTCTGTATTTTTTTATTTTTCGCTACTCTTCTCTTTTTTTTTTTGCGAACTTTAGATTTGCAAAAGTTCATTAACATTCTGTGTGTGTGGCCAAAAGGCAGAAAGAGCAAGAGATAAAGTTGAAAAAAATCCACTCAGCGTTTTCCATTTTAATGAAATGTAGCCTCGTTTTGTTTTTAGATTTTTTGTTCAATTAATTATGCAAATTGTTACAAGTCCAAAGAAGCATTCCTCCGCCTGCTTGTATTACCCATTTCTGACGAATTCAATTTAGACTTATGGCCACATAACAAATCAAAACTAAACGCTGGCATTAGAAACTCTTTCCAGATCTGCCATAAATAATTTGAATAGAAACTAGCTATCAAAACTCCCCCGAGTGACCCCAAAAAACGAAATGTGAGGCAGCAGAATTTAGTGAATTTTTGCATAAAGGTTTTTGTCAACTCTTCGCATGAGGGAATAGCTATCCATTCTTTTCGCTACTTTCGCTTTTGGGAAACCCTTTTGCTTTCGTTTTCAAAGTTTTGTTTTCTTGGCGTATAATTTGTTTGGCTAAATCTTTGTCTCCGCCTTTCGGACCTTCTCTTTCGTTTTGTGCGATTTTTAGAAACGCTTCTGTCAACCGCAGCGTTTAACCAATTTTTCTTGTTATTGTTGCGGTTTTTAATTGCTGGGATCGCATCCGTAAGATTCGCTTTTGTTTCTCGTCTCCGGTTAGCGCATAATGACAACTATTTGGGGGCTTGCTGGGAGCGAAAGTTTCGCTCGCCGGGATGGATGGATAGATAATTGTTTAAGTTTTGTAACAGAGCTCTCCCCCGACAACTAATTGACCATTACTTAAACGATTTTTGTGTCTGGTGGAAATTAGCTTTTGAATAGATTATTAATACGTTTTTATTTTACGTTGTTATTTTTCGATTATCCAACAGCTTACTACTCCAATTCCTATTACATTTAGCTAAAAGATTGAACCGGAAATCTTTGAACCAAAAAATGTGGCTAACCTTTGATTTTTATAAAAACTCAATTAAGAACAAATCGTCGATTTACTAAATACACCTTTTGGTTAACATTTTGTCTAAACTTTTGATACCTATCAAACTTATTTTGATCTCGATCTACAGAACTTAAATAAAAATCTGTTAAACAAAAAATGAAAATTTAAAATTTAATTATTACAAATTTAATACTCAACTTTGAAACTTTTAAAAATCCTTTAAAAGATCATAAGAAATTAATTCCCCAGATCATTTATCTGTTTTTATTTGAGTACCCTTATGTTTGCTCCTTGTGTTTTCCTTTTGTCTAACCGAAACCCTTTCCTTTTTCTATCCCAACCCTCTTCCAGATCTTGGTACCCTTAGCAACCACCACAGCAACATCAGCAACATAAACGCCAGTGGCAACATCCCACCGGCAACAACTTTTATCAGCACCACCACAAACAGCAGCAAGAAGACTACCACCGAGGCGACGACTGCGGGCAAACCTGCTGCACCACTGAACCCCGGCAAAATGGAGCTGCTGAGCAGCAGCACAGCAACAGCGACCACGACGACGACAGCCACGCACCACCTGCACCAGGCGACCACCACGAAGCAGCTGCTGGTGCAGGACTACCTGAGCTACGCCTCGCCACCCACATACTCCCGCCTGCCGCCCGACGGCCATGAGTTTCCGCCCAACTTCAGCGAGCCACTGATCATGCACAGCCACCCCCTGAAGGTCACCACCACCGAGTTGAGCTACGACATCCAGAACGGCAAGGGTGCCGATGAGGCCTCGGCACCACCGCTGCCCAAAACGGGACCACCGGCCACAGTTCCCCGGAAGGTGTACCGCCAGGACTTGGTCATCAATGTGGAGCCAGCACCCAGTTTGAGCCGCGACTATCAGCGATCCTTGAGCGGCGGCACACCCAGAAAACCCAGCGATTGGCGAAAGGACGAGAAGTCGGAGAAGTCGGTGCGCGACAAGATTGCCATGTTCTCGTCCAACAACGAACTGGATGCCATACCGCCCACTCCGGCCACAGCTCCGATTACCACATCATCCTTCTCGCGGAAACCCCTCAACCGCAGCAGTGAGAACCTCCTGGACAGCTGCTCCGCATCCGCGGCTCCTTCGCTGAAAACCCGCGCCATGAGCGTGGAGAACCTAAACGATGTGCAGCGGCAATATCAGCTGGCCAAGCAGCTGCCCCAGTTGCACGTGGCCGACTCCATGTACTCCCTGAACACGGCCACGCCCACCCAGAGCTACGCCTCCTTGCCGCGCAGGAGCCACGGAGGCTCGTACTCCGCCGGCGTGGAGCGGAGGATCAGTTTCTCGGGCGAGGGAGGCGAGGCGGCCAACCGGAAGGCGGCCATCACAAACATCCTAGAGCAGCGAAGGCGCAGTCTGTCGAAGCTGCGCGGTCTGGTGATCCCCGAGAGACCTCAGCTGCTGGAACCCATCCTGGATTTGCCGGAGATCAAGAGCCAGGTGAAGGCGGCCAGCGGGGGAGGACAGCACCGACAGTGGACTGGGCGAGAGCCACCGCAGTTCGGTGACCAGGAGCAACCAAGTGGGTGGCGGTGGTGCGGGTAGCAACTACCGCAGCATCTTCACCGCCAACCAGCGGAGGCCGCTGGAGCAGCAGCTCTCCCAGCCGCCGGCCAAACCACCGAGGACTTCGCTGACCCCGCTCCAGCCGAGAACCATGATGATGCCGCCACCACCGCCGCCCTTGGACCAGGAGAGCGATACGGATTCGGTGTTCTCGCACACGGCTCGAGTGGCCACTCCGCCCGAGAAGTTCGCCCTGACCCGAACCCTGAGTTCGGAGACCAACACTTCGATAGCCAGTTCCAACACCTCCACGCTGACATCGGGATCCTCGGCGGGTTCCCAGGCCAGCTGCAGTTCGCTGGGCAGCACACCAGCCGTGGACCTGACCAGGCGGGTGCTCAAGAGTCAGGTGAACAGCGGCGAACCCGTGGTGCTCTCCAGCCGGAAGAGCATCCTGGCCTCGGCCAAGTGCCGCAGCGCCAAGAGTCGCGGCCAGGAGGAGGACAACGACAGCACCGATGGCGAAGCCTGCTCGCTGGCCAATCGCCGGATGAAACCCATTTCCAGCTACAAGCTGCAGCAGCAGCAGATCCAACTGGGCAAGCAACTGGTCGTGGATAAGCTCATCAATGTGGCCGCCTACGTGGAGCTCACCTCGGACACGGACGACAGCAGCCGGAGATCGGACACGCCGGCCAAGATCAGTGCCATGTTCATAGACGAGGAGCGCAAGGCCAGCTTTAAGGGGGATCCCAGCCAGCAGGCCAAGTTGAAGGTGGAGCCGGTCATCAAACCACTGCCCATAGTCCTGCCCTCGCCGAAGAGGGAACCCCCGAAGCAGCAGTCCACCGCCGAGCTGCGCGAAAAGTTCGAGCGGAGTGCCGCGGCCCAGGTGCAGACCCAGAACCACTCGCCAGTGATCCACAAGATCCACGCCCAGAAGCCGCACCACGAGCGCTTCTCCTCGCTGGACTCGCTGGCCTCCAGTTCCTCGGGCGTGAGCTCCACCACCCAGAATGTGAGCACCACCCAGGAGACGGCCACCGAGTTCGGCAGCTTCTCCTCGCTGGGCAGCAACCAGAGCCTGATCACCGCCCAGGATGTCCAGCAGATCGTCGAGGAGGCCGATCCTCCGCTGAAGACCCCCGAGGCCTTCATCATCGTCCTGCAGCGGGATAATCCCGAGAGTAGCATCGGTATTACCCTGGCCGGCGGTTCCGATTACGAGGCTAAGGAAATTACTGTAAGTTATGGGATTAGCTAAGATTTAATCCTTACTAATTTGATTTACTTTCTCATATAACAGATTCACAAGATCCTGAGCAACACGCCAGCTGCCAAGGATGGTCGTCTGAAGAAGGGTGATCGAATCCTCGCCGTTAATGGAATGAGCATGCGCGGATTGACGCACCGCGAGTCCATCAGTGTGCTAAAGGTAACATCACAATTTAAAACTAATATCTAGCTAAATGTCTAATAATATATATTCTATTCTAATATCTAATCTATTCATTTAAAAATCAAAACTAATAATTTATTTTTCCAACAGACCCCCCGTCCGGAGGTGGTGCTAGTGGTGACCCGCTCCGAGTCGCTGGTGGTGAAGGCGCTGACCAAGAAGCGCTCCTCCCTGGGATCCCTCAGCTCGCTGAACGAGAAGCCCACGGAGCTGGACTTCGAACGCAAGAGGAACTACCACAAGGCCTCCCGATCTCTGGACTTGGACCTCGACCTGGTGTCCAACGAGGCTGGTGGATCGCCGGTGGCCACCACCCCGAGCACTGGATCCGTGAGTCCATCGCAGCCGGCGAGTTTGCACGACGAGGATGCGGAGGCCACCATCGCAGGAATCCGCGCCCGGAGGCAGTTGTCCCGCGGAGATGCCGCCAAGCTGAGCACAAGTGAGCTGCTGGAACGAGCGGCGGAGGCGAGGAACGCCATTGCGGCCGAGATTCGGGCACAAGGTGGGTTTAACAAGGATGCAAAAAAATTCCAAATTCCTTCCTTATTTGTAAATAATTACCAGCAATTAAGATGTCCAAACGCGCGAGTAACTGACATAAATAAAAATTTATGTTAAGTTTGTAAATCAAACACCTGTTCATTTAATATTTCAATTCAAATTTAATTACCTTTTGTTTTGAAAAACCAACAAAAAGTGTTTTAAATCTTTTGAGTAATGAAGATGAACCCCAGTTGAATAATTCTAATTAATCTTGTTTTCTATTACAGCGGAAGATGCGGCGGCCAGCGGTGGAGGAGCTCGTTGCGTGGAAATTGTCAAGGACAGCTGCGGACTGGGCTTTTCCATTGAAGGAGGATTCGACTCACCGCTGGGAAATCGTCCCCTCATCGTCAAGAAGGTGTTCATGGGTAAGGGTAATTTTTCATAGTACCACCAAGGCGAATATTAATCAAGTTCTCGATTCTCAACCAGGTGGTGCTGCCCAGAAGACGAACCAGGTGCGCAATGGCGACGAAATCCTTAGCATCAATGGTGCCTCCACGTCGCGGATGACGCGAGTGGATGCCTGGAACTACATGAAGCAATTGCCACTGGGACCGGTCAAGATTAGCTTCGCCTAGAGAGGATGGTCCAGATTCAAATGCCAACGAACGGGGAAGAATGCGCCACAATTTTTGTTAGATTTAAGCCAATTAGCTTGGTTACCCCTCAGCCGGTCTAACCTTGGGGGTCTTGCCAATCCGATGGATCGATGCTGCGAGCGATTTGTTTTGCATTTAAACGAACCTTTAATTGTATGCCTAATTTTATAGATATTTAATTTAAAGTGCAATTGTTTAAACTCTTACAACGTTTTGATGCCCTACTTACATACCATACCTTTAACTGATCGATGATTGTACATATAACTAATCGAGACTAATTTACGTATTTAAACCTTAAAACAAATTAAAGCCAGCCGTTGGGGCAGCGCTATTTCCTTACACACAACTTATTAATCCACAAAAAAACATACGAAAAAACACAATTATATTTTATGCCATAAATTATACGGGAACGTTATACATGTATATTATTTTAATAATTATTATTTTATTTAAAAACCGATAAAAACAATGTTTACGTATACAAAAGTATTTGCTAAAAATAAACATACAATATATATGAAATAATTTTAAAGTGTTGTCATGGTTATTTTTTGTTTCCCAACGCACCAAAATCGAATACCACATTTTAAAGTAAAAAATCGATTTATTTCAATTTATATCAACTTCATATTAGACTCTTAACTGCTTCTTGCAGTAAGCATATAAAATCTGAAAAGGTTTAAAAACAACTTAAAATATTATTTGTCCTAAATACTGTACATAAATTCGATTTCTTTCGATTGAAGCACGAAACTCAGACATCTTTGGCTGTCTTGGCTGCCAGTTTTGGCAGCTGCAACGTCAGTCCCAAGTGCTGCAGCGGATTAGAAGGCGGAGGTGGGGTTTCGCATCGCGTTCCATTGACCTTGTCCGGGAGCTGCGAGTGCGGTGGGTGGCCGGGCGATGCAGACTCCTCGGAGTGGAATATCTCGCTGAGCAGCTCGTAAACACGACGTTTGAAGTACAGCTTCTGGTGGAAGTTCATGTGCTTGATTTCGGGACGCAGGCCCTGCAGGAATGCGTCATCGAAGTCCATGACAGGCACAGCATCACCATTTTGGATAGATGCCTTTAAGAAAGAAACATAAAAGCATAATTACATTATTATATCAAGCTTAATTCGGCCAATTAACTGTTTGCAAGGCATTTTAAATCCCTTAATCAGGAAAATAGCGTTCTTCTTTAATTCATATTAAATATAGTAGTATAATAATATCTTTTCTATGTATAAAATAAATATTAACAAATATGGCACCAACCTTGGCTTCCTCTTTGCCTTCCCTGGATAATCGCAGTCGCTTTTTTGCTCTTCCCTGCCAGGAACCCTTTTCGTCCTCCGACTCGTCCTCTGAATAGGATTCGTTGCTTTCGCGGCTCTGCGCATGATCGGTGTCCGGACTGCTCGGCGACTGCTTCATCTCGAGAAAGGCTTCCACCGGCGTTTCGTGCTCCTCGTCCTCCTGGTCCACATCCTCCTGTCCCTTGGGCTTTGAACGGCGACCCCTCAAAGGGACGGGAACTCCGGGTGTGATGTGATTCTGAAGGAACTGAAGTTCGTTGTTGAGATAGTAAGTATTCGCACCGTGGTGCACCTTGATGGAACGGGCGTAGCTGGTGCGGATGTTGCGCCACCGTTCCTTGCAGCTCTTGACTAAAAATTAAAGACATGCAAATAGCATTTTAATTACGTTTTTAAAAACAACATCTATTATTATTTAAATACAATTACTAGAATATGCTGTTTAAATCGTTTTAATTTGTCATAATAAAAAAGATGTGACAATTATCCTTAATTGTGTTGTTAACCCACCCGAATTTCGCATCTCTTTGGATATATCCTTCCAGGCGTTTTTCACGGTCGATTTCCGCATGTAGTTATCATCGGATCGATCGTAGAGACAAGGATGTTTGGCCACCAACTGACAGATTTTGGCGTTGGTGGCGTAAATATTTGGCGATGGAGCTATAGGTCGCCGACGCGTGTTCATTTCATCAATAAAAACTGAAAATTAAATATGTGAAAATAATAAATAAAACAAATAATTCAAAGCCAAAAAATAAATGCGAAACATGTGTCGCCTGTACGTGCAACAGCTGTTTGGGCGACTTTGCTAAGCTACTCTGCCTGCAACAACAGTTATTTTCCCAATCAACGGGGCTCCCCGTCTATTAGACTTACATGAATTTAGTAAGCAAAAACTTTATTTTATTTTTGCCACTGATCCAATGACTATAATTAATTTATTTATCCGAGTTTTCAGTCGCTTGTTGCTGCCGTGCACGAAGAAGTTGCTGCTGTCGCTCGTTTTTGCAACTCGTTGTTATTTCGTGTTGCTGCCAACAAGTGTTGCAGCTGCAATAAAATGTTGCACGTGACAATTGCATTTAACACTAGGAGCACTAGATTGGTTTGATTTTCAGCCTTATTTAAGGTGCTAACGGGCGTCTAATATAAACAAAACACTCGTTGCCGGCGAAATAAAAAAAAGTCAAAACAAACTCTAAGGCAGGGGCGTAGCGCGCTCTCTTTAAATTCCAGCAGGGTCTGCTTTTCCCTGTGCATGATACCCTCTCAGAGAGCGCGAGCTAGTACCATGCCTCTGAGTCTCACACACACAACCCAATCATACTCTGCTTCAAAAGAGAACAACGAAGCTGCCAGACACGAAACAAAAATAATGTTGTTATTGCTGGTAAGGCCCTTCGATCAGTGGTGGAGCTGCCAACGCTTTAAAAACTAAAAGTGCCTTACATATGTTCCAGCCCTGTTCGCTAGCGCTCCAAATACATCAGCAAACAAAATTTTCGAAATTATTTTCTTAAATCATATAAAAATGTATGTTTAATGTCATTGGAACACATGTAAAATCATTTTTAATATTCATTTTTATACTATAACATACTTAAGCAGACATTTAGAAAACGACAATTTTGATAATTCATGAAACATGATTAAACATAAATTTTAAATTATCATACCTTAGTTAAACCCAGTTAAAATCGAATGACTTCACATTTATTTTTCGTCCCTGGCCTGCTTTCGTCAACCCTCGTTTGCACACATCGGCCTGCTAATTCAATTTTTCCTGCAAGGAGAGAGCGCTCTCTGCTCTCTCGTACGTCGCCGGTGGGTCTGTGTGTGGACTCGCTCGAGTTTCGCTGTTTTCGTTTGGCAGTTTTTTCTCCTCAGCTGCTGCGCGCGTGTGTTGTGGTTGTGTGAATTACGTTTGTTTTTGCCCCACAAAACGATAGATTGTCGGCGAGCTCTTTCGATTAAACAGTTGAAAGCGTGATAGTGATGAGCGGGACCACTGAGTCGAATGTGGCGCTGTTACGGGCAGTGGAGAAACAGCCGCCCCTGTACGATCGGCGCGACGAAAATTACAGGAAGCGCCTGCCGAGCGAGAATGCCTGGGACATGGTAGCATCGGAAGTTGGAGATACGGGTAAGTGAGTGGAAACGAGATGGCAAAGCAATGATGCGTAATTTTCGGCCAGTGTTGCACAGCCTCAACGTGCGCACTTTATTCTGCCACTTGGGGTTATCGGCCACCGATAGTAGCAGTCAAGTTGGCAGCACGCTGGGGGCTGGAATGACAGTTGGCATCGATTAATTCGAAAAAAACGAATCTCCTGTTGAATGGAATGGTTGAAGGGGTGCATTAAAGCAGGAAGAAATTCTTTAGCACCACATTGTACTGAGTTGGTGCAATAGATTAAGTATGAATTTGTTTTAGAAAGAAATATGTCTTTGAAGCAGGTCCGATTTTATTTTGCGTTTAAATAATTTTCGAAACCTTTTTACTGCGTTTTTAACTTCTTGGGTAGCATGTTTTTCAAAGTATTTGTTTGTTTTAATATATGTACCATATTATTAGGTACTATTTAAAGTTAAATATCATTTTGGAGAAAATACAATTTTGGAGTTTTCATTTATATACATACTTAAATGTTACTATTTCGCAGATATATTTTCGTTTTATATGATGAAATTAAATTAAGATAAAAAATAAAAGGATAAATAATTCTAATTCAATTGAAACTTATTTATTAATTGATTTAAGTTCATTAATTTTATTTTTATCTTAAAAAAGTTATGTTTTTATTTATTATACAACTCTATACAACAACGAATTACAACTCTATTTGGCATGTTATATATGGTATATATTATTGTTGTGTTCCAATTCCGTTCTGCATGCAACTCTGTTAGTTTTGTAAACGAGGCGTTGTCGATAGTTTTCCTTATGCTTCCCTGAATTTCTTTTCCGTAAAAATTTGTAAACGTCGCATAGCCCAGTTACTTTTGCTTAATTAAAAAAAGCATTCTAGGCGCCTGCAGGAGATTCTTTGTAAGTTATATTTATACATTTGATGTGTTTTAAAATTCGTATAAGCCATCTTCTCAGAAGCTGTCTGAAAACCAAGTAGTGTACTTGCAAGCTATAAATTTTTAAGAAATTTTATTTTTTTGAAACCGCGCTTTATTGTATCTTACCATCCGTGTTAATATTACTATACTGTTATTATGTATTAAAAACAAAAATCCAATTGCGCATTTTAAGACTTCGTTTTGCTAGGGTGCAATGTAATTATTAGCACGTGTCGGAACTTTTTTAAACAGTAAACAGTTAGAAGACTTTTGGTTCTTTGAAAAAAAAAACATTTGAGTGGCTTTAAAAATTTTTTGTGTGGGTTTAGGGGGTAAGGTTTTAAAAGCCAAAAAGGGCCATATTTGATTATTTTTGCGGCGAAATGAGTAAGTTTATGTTATTGAGAATTAGAAGAGAATTAGAAAAAAAAATTTTTTTAATGTATAGAAATAAGCCTGTGGCGGTTAATCTTCCGAAGCGCCTAAAGAAAAATTTGTTTTGCGGTGAACATCATAGGGCGTTAAAGGATCATCTTAAAAATAAAAAGTGATATGCGTTGTAAAGATAATGAATTTCCCGAGTTAATCAGGAAACGTTAAAAAAAATTTTTTTTTTTCTAATTTTGGCAGCACTTGGAAGTGAAAAGTGCGATTTTGGCTCAAAAAATTGTTGCTCATTTATTTTTGAAAAATAGAAAAAAAAATTACAAATTAAAAAAATAGTTCCTGATCGGTTCATTAGATTTTGAGTTCTGATGTTCACCGACTTTTAAAATAACGTTTTCGGGAAAATCGAATTTAATTACTGGGGCGCCAAGAGTTGAGGCCATATTATTGTTAATCGACCTAAAATAAACACTTTTTAATAAATAAAAGTTTTCGTATCAATGCATAAGTGCGCATAAAAATAATCTTCAGTGTCCGTCTTGTGCCAAAAGTTCCGCGAAAAATATGTACATACAATAAGTACATAATTGGCATATTTATTTCGCCCGCTACCCGCTTGCACTATAATCCGACATTTAAGACTCGATATTCTTTTTTTTTTTGTCCTTTTTTAACACATTTTAATTTTTATAGTCCTTTAATTTGAATTTAAAAATAATTAGAACCAAAGCTCGACGTAAAAAATTGTAAATTTAACTGAAATATAAAAAATTAAACAATTATTGTGATTTACAATTTATTAAAAATTTTAAATTTTGTTGTTCACATTTGTTTGCTTGTTTGGAAAATTTGAAGATATTTTTTAATCCTACTTCTTTGCTTTACAACATGGGTTAGGTATAGTGGATTTTATATGTTTATGGTTTTAGATTTCACTGGGATTTTCGGTAGCCAATCTCCTGAGGTTTTGACAGATGTCGTTGCCCAACCCGCTACCTGTTGTCCTGAAAATAAGTTTTGTTTACCTGTTTAATTTTAAAACTTTCCTCTTTATCTACCTTGCAGTGGAAAAGTGCAAGCGACGCTGGCGTCAGCTGAGAAACGACTATACCCGTTGGTGCAACGCGGACGCCAATCGAAAGCGAAGTGGACAGCGTCGAATAGCCTATCCGCTGGCCAATGACCTGCGCTTCTTGGACCGTCATCTAACCTTGGCCGAAGACGTCCTCAACGAAGACGACCGCAGTGTATCTTCGGACAAGGACAGGAATAGCAACAAGGGAAGCGAAAGCAAAGATAACGGGCAGCAGCCTAAGTCGCCCTTAAAAGGAATCAACCCGCCGCCAAAAAAATTAGTCAAGGCGGGAAAACTGATCAGCCAACTGCTCGAAGAGAAACCCGCAGGGAAACCGCAAGCTAAGGAAAAATCTGGTAAAGATTTGGAAGATACTGAGGAGCCAGAGAAAGTCGAAGAACTGGATAGTTTCCTGCAATCGGACGACGACTGCGAAGACGAGGAGCACCTTGATGGCTACGATTTCGATTTGGGGCACGAGAACGAATCAGCACCCGATAAGTCAGTAGGAACGGAGAACGCAGATTCACCCGCCAGCCAATCGGAGTTCTTCATCAAGGAAAGCAACGCTCCCCACTTGCTAATTATTGGCAAAAAGAACTCGGCCGCTTCCGTTGGTGAGCCAGAAGGTGATAATTCGACCTTTATGGATTTCTTGGAGGATGACACGGATGATAGTGGCGATGAATCCTTTGGGGCAAGGGGAAGCCGTAGCACAGCCAGCAGTATCTCCGACTCTCCCAATCGCCGTCTACGCCGAGCGAGTCGTATGTCAATTGCTTCCGCTGGCATCAAGGACTTGCCAATCCGCAAAGCCGGCCAAATACAACGATTGACGCGTTTGCAGCGCAGGAAATCGATGAGTGTGGGGGCCGTTCACAGTGTTAGGAGTGCCACATCGCCGGTGAAGATGACGCCAGTGCCCAGATCCACCACGATCAACAAGCCACCATCCGGAGCAGTCCAGATAAAAAAGATAACTCCGCGGGATGACATCTTTCCACGGCCAGCGCCGTCAGCTGGAGGCCAGAGTCAAACTCAGAGCCAAACGAAAGCCGAACAGATGATCTTTCCAAAAGGCGATAGGATAGTTGTTCCACAAGCGCAGACTTCGCCGGCAAGAAGGCCCGTGGGCAGGCCGCCCAAGCGGCTGCAATTGATCCAGGGGTTGGTGGGTCCTCAGCCCAGACCCAACACACCTTCTAATGACAAGGTTATGGCCATGAACAAACCCAGCAGTAGCAGCAGCATTATCAACAAAGTCAGCAGCCCAATACGCACCACCCCAAGCTCCACTAGTTCCACTAGTACCACTGTAACCACAAGCACAGCGACCAAAGTGACCGCCACCAACACCACCCTTAAAGCCCCAGAAAACGTAATCAAGATTACCTACAGCGCCGCTTCGACAACCGCTACCACCAGCAGCGTCCAGAGTACCAGCAGCGTCCAGAGCACCAGCAGCATCCAGAACTCCAGCAACGTCCAGACCACCAGCAGCGTCCAGAGCACCACTAGCTCCCAGAGTGCCTCGGGTACGGTTGTGACTGCTCTCCCCACAACAAGCACTGCAGGATCGGCCACTCTAGCAACTCACCCACATCTCACCATTTTGAAACGCGCCGAGCGGAGCACCCAAACCGACAGCCCGAATATCTTCTCCGATGATCACTTCTTGGAAATGATCAAGCCGCAGATGCATGAGATGAATCCCCGCCAGAAGATGCACTTCAAGAAGAAGGTATTCCAAGCGCTCATGGAGACCTTCGACGATGCCACCGATTTCCCCGCGGCTGGAGAGACGCAGCACTTTAACATCAACACCCCGTCGGGATTCGAGCACGTTTCCGATCCGGAACTGCGACTGGTCAGGGAGCTAGTCAGTATGGTGAGCGCGGCTAAGGTAACCGCAATCCGACCCACTGCAGATAATCGCACCCAAACTGTTTCGGACGTTTTGCGAGGACCGAACCGTGCCATCGGGCCACGCCACGTCATTCAGAGGGTCTTGAAGCCAGGCGCCGGAGTCGAGGTCACCACGAGCAATGGCACTGCTGTTGGCCAAGAGAAGAAGCTGTACAGGATCCTTCAGATGAATGGCAAGCCGTCTGGCAGCTTGCATACGTCGCTGGAAAGTCTTCGCAAGGAGAGCGTGGACAGTAACCAAAGCACTATAAGGGTGGCCAATGGGCCAAATGTCAGTCCTAAGGCCAACACTGTTGTGGTGAGACCGCAGGGATCCCCGATGAACACCTTGTTTGGCCAGTCGAATTCAGGGCATCAAATTATAAAGGCCGTTCAACCGGCGAAGGTTACCACCATGTCCCGTAGGTATTCAATTTGCGGCAGCAGCAATCCCGCCAATAACGCCGCCACCATTCCAGCAGTGGCCACTGCCACCGCCGGGAACTCCAACATCAATGCCATGGATGCGGCCTTGCTGAAGCGGCGACTTATGGCACCGGCACAGGGAACAGTGTCGCCTTCCCAGAGACCTCGCTACTCCAACGTAGGCCCAGGCCAAATAGCCACTGTTCAGCAGGGCAGTAGCTTACTTGTTCGAAAGACCGTGGGCAGTGTTCCTGGCCATGTCCAGAAGCAAGTCTCACCCACCGGCGGAGTCTCGGCGGCCCAGAAAACACCGCAGATTGCCAGTGTCCAAGGTGGCGCCTTCAGCGATTTCATCCAGCCAAAGGCAGCTGCTGCACCATCTGTTTCCAGCGATGCAGGTTCGTCATCCACTGCGCTAAAGCGCAGTTTGGTGGTGGCCAATAGCAAGACCTCCTTCCAGGACCTTTTGCAGCAGCCGGTGCAGAAGAAGAAGGAATCCTCGGAGACGGCAGCCACCATTGCTGCGGATGATTTTTCACTGGCTAACCTGAAGCGAGAGCCGGTGGATCACGACCAGGACGACATACTTGGCATTTAAGGATAAGCCAAACGAATCCCAGAAGATTGCAAAATTATACCAATAATCTTCAAGATTAAACATCCAAACAAAAACAATTGTCTAAAATAACTAAATGTTGCTTAAAACATTTATCTACTACATTATAAATTTATAAGTTACATTTGTCAGTTTTTGATTTTGTTGCTGCAAAATTTGCTTAGAGTTTCCTGAGCGCTTTTTTTTTACCATTTGTACCCACAAACAAAAAAAATATTACAGTTACTCCTATTGTAGCCATACATTGTTAAGAAAATTCGAATCTAAATTTCATTTCACATGTTCTAGTTATATATAAATAATAAATATTGCCTTTTCTTCAAATTGAAAGAAAACTTTTTTATTGGTACTTATTCCATATGGGGGTCGCAACTAGTTGATTCAATGACAAATTTTCTAATGTTGCAGTTTGTTAAAATATTTTTTTTTAATTTTTTATTCTTCTGGAGAATCTGTACAGCATATTTAAAGTACCTTAACAACTCGGGAGTAGTAAATGGTTTTTGGTTTGAACATAATTTTTAATCCAGCAGCCTAATACTAAACTTCTTATAACAAGCTTTTTATTAAGATCTTTTTAGTTCTTAGATATAGTATATTAGATAGTCATAAAATTGAATACGTTGAGTCAGAAATATCGAATTTTTCTGATATTACCGTATGCCTTGTGGTGCAATCACCTCCATGAGTGTTCAGTACGTGGACTAAACTTCTAGCCTACACGTCACCGATGGTAAAAGATAAGATATATAATGCCTGGCACAACAATGATTGGTAAAAACTACAAAGGTAACAAAAAAAAAATACATTTAAGATCCATATTACATATATTTAAATAATTTCTCTGCGGAGAAAGGTAATAACAAAGAAATAGAAAAATATATTTAGCATTAAACTTGTGCTTGGTCACGTTATTGGATCCAATACTTCCCGTTTTTGGGAACCACCGTCCAAGATTTACAAGACTGAAATCCGCTGCTCTTTTTGCACGCTTTGGGTTTGGAATCTAATCTGAAGAGGTCTACGGCGCTCGTGGCCATAAATATCGGAGTCGGTGGCCAGATAAGACGACTATAAAACCTCAACTCAAGTGGCTGCGAAGCTCAGTCGAATTTCAGACGTACACCATGAACAACTTTGCCATTTGCGCCCTGCTCATCCTGCCGCTGGTCAGCGGTGGGTTTGCTCCACCCCAAAGACACTTTGTGGCCTACGAAATCCAATCCAACAACATGCCGCAGATGGAAGGTAAGAATTAGTAGAAAGTAAAACGGAACTATTCAATAAAATCAGTGAACTTTAAACAAATAAATTCCTAAAGATTTTAATATTTTTAAAAACCTTTCCCTTACATTTACATTTTTTTAACCCAAAGTAAATTTTACAATTCTTCAAAAAAAAAAAAAATATTGAACAATAAAAGAAATATAAATCAATAAATATTTATAGCTTATTCTTCATTACAATATGTACAAAACAAAAAAAATATCGAGATTAGATTAGATGCGTCATTGACTTCTTTGTTTTTTTTTTGCAAGTTAATCATGTTTCCTTTGTTTTGTTTTACCTCTTGTAGCCATCGTCCAGAAGATGCAGGCCATGCTCCAGAACATGGTTCCGGAATTGGCTCGCCTGGCCGATATGTCCGTCCAGGCTGATGCCGGTGTCCTTCCCGACATGTCCGTGGCCACCGATGCCGACGAGACCCCCAGGAGGCGTTCTGCGGAGTTCAAGGTCGCTCCGATCGCCAGGGTCGCTGCTCCCGTCTTCGCCCAGATTCCCGACATGTCCGTCCAGGCTGATGCCGGTTTGATCCCAGACATTTCCGTCGCCACCGATGCCGACGAAACCCCCAAGCGCGCCTCCTTTGCCTTCAGGAAGCCCATTTTGGACAGGATCGCTGGAGGAGTTTCCAACGTAGATGCCGATTTGATTCCCGACATCTCGGTGGCCTCCGATGCGGATGAGACCCCCAGGCAAGCCGTCGATGGTCTGAAGACCCTGCCTAATTTCGCAAAGGTCTCTGGAGGAGCACCAGTGGACTTTCAAAAGATCTTTGCCAAGCTCAGGAACCTGCCTCAGTTGACCAAGGTTTCCGGAGGCGAGCCCGTGGAGCTTAAGATTCAAGCCGATGCCGATCTGATTCCCGATATGTCCGTTGCCTCTGATGCGGATGATACTCCCAAGAAGATCATCGCTGGTCTGAAGACCCTGCCCAAGTTTACAAAGGTTTCTGGCGGAGAGCCCGTTGAGGTTAATGCCCAAGCTGATGCCGATTTGATTCCCGATATCTCGGTGGCCTCCGATGCCGATGTGACCCCCAAGAAGGTGGTTGCCGGTCTGAAGACCTTGCCCCAGTTGACCAAGGTCACTGGTGGTGAGCCCGTCGAGATCAAAGCCCAAGCTGATGCCGATCTGATTCCCGATATCTCGGTGGCCAGCGATGCCGATTTCGATCCCAAGAAGACCCTGGCCGCCATTTTGGCCAAGCTTCACTAATTGTCTCCGAAATTCATCAGCTGACCCTGATTAAATCGGAAATCATCTATATCTAAATGGTTGTGCGTTTTTGTATTTTTAGGTTTTTATATAAATTAATCAAGTTTTAAAGAAGCGCATCACAGTTGGGTTTATTATTGTTTTCCTTTCTTATCAGTCATTGATTGAAGTGGTCTGATTGGTTTGATTAAATTTTTTTGCACGAACTGTGGCAATTATGTGTTAGTTTAAAGTTGGTTAAACCCAACTAAAAATATAAAGAACTCGGGTTTTACCATTGAAAAACTAGATTGGATATCTTAAATAAATTATTACTATTTTGATTCAGTCAAAAGGTTTCCAGCCATAAATCAGGGGAAAGCTAATTTATAAAAGAATGCTCCACAATCTCACTAAGTATCAGCATTTATCGAAATCCAGTCTTATGGAATGAATTTTCTCATCTCTCCAACTGAAATTTATGTGCATAAAAGACTCAACCTGACCTTTGCCATCTTAACAACGGCGGACATTTCCCAGCGCGGCTGGACTTAATCCAAGTTCAGGCTTTGTTGGCCAAGACAAAACTGATTAGTTTTGGCCCTGGACTAACCTCGCAACTAACAAATAAAATTACTTTTTCCTCTGGATAGCTGGGTACGAGGGAGTATTGTGGAGTATTGTATCGCTTGCTATTTATAAAAAGGAATTAACGGCAAAAACCGGATCCACACACAAAAGTAGCCCGAATGTGATCCCAATGTGGCACATGGCCATAAACAACGCGGGGGTGCAGAGGTCGTACGGAGAGAGAACTCTGTGATAGAGATGCCAATGTGCAACATTGTGGTGTCAAATTAGAATACTAAAAAAAAGAATTTTATTTCTACTTGTTTCTATCCTTATATAAATAAGAGTATTCTGTTAGAGAATATTTTACAAATATATACAATATTATTAAAACCTATATTTTACTTCAATCTCTTCACTTTCCTTTACAACTTAAATAATTTTAATTTTCTGTAATATATAATTTTTATTTATTTAGTGACTTAAATTAAAATTTGTCATCTCTGTCTTGTGTTGCTGGAGTTCCTGTGATATTGTTGCTGCTGTCGTTGTGATTTTCATACAAAAGCGCTAAAGCGGCTACTAAATTACGTGCTCATGTGTTCTAGTTTGAGTTAACTCCCCCTTTCCCCTTTCCCCCTTCCCCTCCCTCTTTCCCACCCATCCCACTTACCAGCCTCTTTGCATTGCGAGCAAATCGCATTTGGAGCCGCTAATGAACCGCAGTGGTCCCGACCAGGAGGCGTCCATCGGTGGTGCTGGTGGTTTTGGTACTGGTACATATATCAGTGGTGCTGCTGCCCCAACATTGTACGGGTTCTGTATCTGGTTTTTGTTTTCGGTTATTCGTCGCTTCGCTTTTACCTTTTGCCGCATTTTCAAAAGAAAAACTTTACAGAAAGGCTTTAAACTGTTTAATACTGTGCAGAACCATTCAGTTATATAGAGTACACCGAAGCTTAAATAATCTGATCTGGTAAAATGATGTGGTTTTAAGTCAGTAGTTTGAAACAGTTTAACCAAAATAAATTTTATAAAGTGAAGACCTCATTGTTGGGGCTCAAATGTGTTTTTATTTTTATAATTGTTTTATTAAAAAACATTTTTTTTTTAAAAAGATTTCCCTAATAGCTATATACCCTTGTTATGTCCGAGTACCGGGTAAAAAATACCGTTTAAAAGTGTAACAATGCTGTTAACTGTTGTGGGCTGGCCTGCGAATTGAACTGCATTGCATGAGCGGGTAAAAGGGGGCGGAATTAAAGGGGGGACCTGCAACAATTGGCGCTTGATTAAGGAGAGTTACCTTATGTGTGAGTGGGGGTAAGTTGAAAGGGCGCTGCCGAAAATTTCAATCAACTTTTAAGCCACGTGAGGGAAAAAAATGGTCTTTTGCTGAACTATAAAAAAAAATTATAATTTCTGAAGTTAATTTGCGTTTTCATACAAGGTATATTGATTTTACAACCTTTTGCCTTGCAGTTTAATTACAGTTGAACTGTTTTAGATATCTAGTAAATTTAAGTTATGAAAAGTATTCCAAAAATAAATGCTCTAATTCTATGAATTACTTTGCGATAAGTTGTATTAATTAAAACAGAAAGGGTTTCGTTGACTCTAATTTCATGATCTTGTTTAAACTGTCTAAATGTATTGTATCCTTTGTCTTGGCCTACACAATGTCTTAGTCAGCAGAGCGGATTAAGGACTTCAGTTCTCTGGATCTTAATGCAACCAGCCACAATACCTACTATACCATAACTTCTTTTCATTTACTTTGCGCTGCTTTTGCTGTCAGGACCAAAGTTTTCTCCATTTCGCTGCGGCTTTGCAGCTGTCGCATTTGATGTGACCCTGCCGCCCATCTGACTCCGTTCAGTTCACCCACCACCCACTCGGGTGGCCTTTGGCTGCACTTATTACAAAACTTTTAACTTCTTCCCGTTTTGCATTTTCATTTATTTTGCCGCCTTTCATTCACTCTCGGCTTTGTTGTTGCTGCTTGAGCATATCACTTCTCTCTCGAAGAAATTTCATTTTACTTCCTTCCGCTGTTTTATCCACCGAAAGAAAATATGAAAAGTTTTTACCAATTGTGTTATACACAACAACATATTTTACGCAAATATCCTATTACTTCTTTATTGAACCTCCAAATATGTCAGTAAAAATATCACATATTGAATTTTTTATCAAATCTAAAATTTACTTGTTGAATTTAGTTTGTATATATATTTAAGTAAGGGAAGTATATAATTTCAACTTAAAGACTATCTTTAAAACTTTTTTCTATGTCAGCTTTTGATTTTCAAGTGCACTTTTTTCTTTTCTTTCTTTTTTCCCAAAAAGTTTTCTCCACTTTTGCCTTTTGATTTCCGCACTGCACTTTGCATTTAATTTTTTTTCCTTTTTTTTGGGGGGCAAACTTTTGCTTTCAGTCGGACATGAGCTTAAAAATATATTTCCTTAATATATGTGAGACCATAACTTTAATATATAGTATCGAAATTGGTTTTAAGTTTGGAGCTCAGCTGAAGAATGAAACTCGATTTGTTTAAATCAGTTTTTCATCGTTTGCCTTGAGCCTGCTTGCTAAATGTTGTAATATTAAGAAAGTTTTGTCGGACTAAGAATTACTTAGCAAAGTGGAAATACCAATAATGTTTGAAAAAAATTCTCCCCAGGGGAGAAGCATGAAAGGGGTCACTTCATTGGCTAACCTTTTGCTAATGACTTCCTTGTCGTCGCTGTTGCCTCCTCGAAAAGATAAGCCCAAAGTGCAACAGCACACTCAACTTGCAACTAGCAGCATAGCCAACTAGCAACATCACCAACTAGCAACTCGCAACAACAGCAAACACTTCAAGAATGTTTAGCGAACACGCGATGACAACACAACGACTTTAAACAACAACGCAAAAGGAAACTACCGAATTGGAAATACTCTTGTATGTGTATCCTATTTATTTATTAGAACAGAAATTTAAAATGTTTAATAAGTTTAAACTTCATAATTAAAGAACCCGAAGATTTGAAAAGAGTTAACATATATATTTTTTTTGGCAGATGAAATGGCATTTAAAATGTTAAAACTTGCAGTTTGAATATAAGAAAAAGTAAAAAAGTATATTTATTTTATAATACCCTCTTCAAAAGTATGCAAAGAAGAAAACTTTGATGCGTAAGTGAGAAGAAAACAAACTTGACTTGCGTTTCACCCAAACGCCAACAGATGGCGCCAGCTAAGTTCCTTACGGCAAGCATAATAAATAAAAATTCACTTGGAAGAAAAACTAGAAATATTTCGTAGCAGGTGCGTCAAAAACGAAAACATTCGTTTTCCATACCGACAAATAAAATTATCAGCAAATAGAATGCAAAAAAAAAATTGCTGATTGGTCAGTCAGGAAATATCAATCCGATGCAGCCATCAACTTTGGCAATAGAAATTCCCTTGCATTTTGCCTTTTAATAATATGTTTCTGCACAGTTTCCCACACGTATCTCGTATTTTAGCCAAAAAACAGCCATTTCAGTGATTACAGTTAAGCACTTCCGCATCGTTAAAAATAGCATGTGCACAGCAGCAACAACATCCCACAAATAAGCTGTTGCAATAACCACTGTAATCATGGTTGCAACATGCCACTGCCACCATATCGTCGTCTTAACCTTTCGCAACCGATTCGACAGCTGTCGGAGCCCACAATTAATTTAAATAATAGTCAATTAAATTATTTTCATTTTCACTTATTTTTCTTAGTTAAATAAATCAAATCAAATGTGAATAATAATAAAAATCACACTAAACTTGAAACTATATGGCTGAAAATCTACGGTTTCCCACCGTAAAACATATTTATTTTTCCATAAGCAAATTAAATTTTTGTCTTGCAGTTTTTGTAACTTTTTTTCTTGAAATTTTATTGCCTCGCCAATTTTGTGCTCGTGACCTGCAGGCGATTCATCTTCCAGTGGGTTCATTTCAATTTTACTTTTTTGAAAAAATAAATTTAATTAGCCAACGATTTCATGGAGTTGTGGGTAGAGGAGGTAGATAGGTTTCATGTTGCTGCAGTTGCAACTTTGACATTTTGCCGCATTAGCAAACGATTGCCGTAGTACGTGATGTCGTATAGCCGCTTTTTTCGTGCATCCTCGACTTTTTGGCCTTGGTATTTTTGTTTCATCGCTTCTTTTTCGGTTGGCATTTTCGGTTTTGGGTTATTCAGTATTTTTGGCCCTGCTGGTAATAAATATTTTATTAGACGCGGTGTGAAAGGTGTGCAAAATTTACACCACCGCCAGGAGAGTTTAGGGCCTGCATGAGTGGTCTTTTTCCTGGCTGAGTCATTTGCGGGGATTTGCATTTTTGGCCATAAAAAACGCCAGTTGGCAGCTCTTTCTGGCATCCTGTTTATGGTCGAGAAAGTGGAAAGGGGGTTAACAGGGGGTGAGAATTTTAAAGCCCCAATTTGTTTTCCCTTTTTATTTATATTTATTGTGACGTAATTTTTTTATGTCCCTGCTTGGCATTGTTGAAAGTTTTATGAGAATTGCAGCGAAATGG